GCCTCGGCCAAGGGGGAAACTGAGGCACGGGGCTGCCACCCCGCCGGGGCTCAGCGTCCAAACGCTTCTGAATAGTTTGTGAGGGGCTGATGAGTGACGAGCATCGCGTGGCTCCACGGTGGAAATCCAAACACCGGGACCAGGAGGGAAAAAAAGTCCCCCAAATCCCACGGCCAGGTTACAAAAGGTTCCGGCAGTGCTGTGTGGTATTGGCTCCCCCTCCCCACCTCCCCCTCCCCGGCACCACGTTGGCAGTGTCAGCCCCTTGGTCCTCACTGGGGTGGCTCCTGAGGTCTCTGTTCTGGGGATGGTGACACTGTTAGGATTTGTGCTGAGGGAAAGTGGGGGGTGGGGGGCTGGAATTTTGCCCCAAAAGCAATGTGACCCCCATGCCAGCCAAAGGGGACCATGCACCCCTGCACCCCTGTGTGCTCTCAGGGTGATGGGCTGCAATGCAGCCTGGGAGGTTCTGAGCTGGGACCATGCAGAGTTCCCATGTCCCGCAGGACACCCCAAAACCCATGATATCACGGCTGTGCAGACGCCATGGGCACAGTGGTTGCATGTGGCCCTGATGGCTGTATCAGCCCTGCGGTGCACGGTGCAGCCTGGACCCCAAACCAAGGGGACTTTGAAGCAAAGGGATCCCAAACCAAGGGGACTGGACCATTGCACGGAAGACCCCAAGCCAAGGAATCCCTGAACTGAAAACTAAGGGGACTCCAAGCCAAGGGGACTTCATCCCACAGAGATCCTACCCCCAGGAGACCCCATCCCAATGGGACCCCAAACCAATGGGACCTCATCCCAATGGGACCCCAAGCCAAGGAGATCCCGTCCCAAGCTGACCCTGAATCAAAAGGACCCCGAATCGAAGGGACCCCATCCCCAGGGCTCCCCGCTCAGTGCAGCTGCCCTAAGGCCAGGTGGGGTGAGAGAAGGTGATGTTGTAGGGGGCGGCCCAGCTGGCAAAGACGCGCTTCTCGGTGATGAAGCGGTGGTGATTGCCGCGGCGGCTGCGCTCGTTGTGGATGTACGTCGTGCACTCGTCGGGGCCCTTGGGCTCGTAGTAGTGGTAGGCCATGCGGCGGGGCTGCGGATGCTGACTACAGGCAGACCATGGGCTGAGCCCCGTGCTGTGCCCTGCGGTTGGGATTTGGGGATGGGGAGGCCCTTACCTGCAGTAGTTGGGGGGCACCATGCCGTAGACGTGGACGGTGTCGCACAGCTCCACCGCAATCCCCATGGTGAACCAACCCGTGCTCAACCACGAGCGCGACTTCTCTCTAGGGCACAGCGATGGGGTGACCCTCATGGTGCTCAACCCACCAGTGGGGACCCACAGACCACAAGGAGGGGAGGAGGAGCTCCCAGTACCTGTCCTTCCCCGTCTCCCCCCGAAAGAGCTCGTCGAACTGCTTCATGCGGTGCGGGGAGACGATGTAGGCTGTCATGTTGGGGAAGGATGCGCCGACGCGTTGGATGATCTTCAACAGCCCCTTCTGCATCTTGGCCGGCGGCCCCCAGAAGATGAGGATGGTCTCCGGGGTTTTATTGACGAACTCTTGGGGCCGCCTGAGGACGCGGTAGACGCTGGAGTGGGCCACCACACGGAAGGTGGTCTTGTTGCCCACATCGGCCTCATAGCCGGTGGTGGGAGCATCGTTCATGCGGATGGTGCACTCGGTTTGGTCAATCTCGGTGCCCAGGTGGGTGCCCAGGAGGTGGCTGGAGCTGGTGACGATGGCGCATTGGTGGCAGTGGGCAGTCAGGCTCTGAGGCGATGGACACAATGAGTCCAAACCAAGGAAACCCAAAACACAGGGACCCCAAACCAAGGGGCTTTCGGTGTCCCACCCACGGGGACATCCCATCTCCACAGCCACGTCCTGTGCCCACCTTGTTCCCAGACACGGGCAGATACCCGCTGCTCACCCCCCAGTGCCGCAGGTTGGGGGGCCGCCGGGCTCTGCCCCGCAGCGCACTGTAGGGGAACACCTCGGTCCCACTGCTGGAGCTGTAGATGATCAGCAGCATGAGCAGGGCGAAGAGAAGCACGAAGACGGCGGCGCGCTGGCTCTGCAGGTGGGGGACAGCATCAGGGCTCCTCCCCAAAGGGATGGGGATAGAAATCACAGGGATGATCCGGCCCAACTCCATTTCCCCTTGCTGGTCACAGGGAGCTGGGATAGGGATGGGGAGGGGATGGGAATGGGGATGGAGATGGGGATATTCCTGTCCTTTCCCGCCCAGCCACACACAGTTCCAGCTCTCCCAGTAGCAGCACTGCTTGCATGGCCGTAGGGCTTTAAGGAGGGAGGAGGAGGAAAATGCTTTACTGCGTGAGTGCTCCTCTGAGCTGCTGCCAGAGGATCATGGCATGGCTGCCCCCAGCTCGGCCCTCCCGAATGGCTTTGAGGGGACTCAGGTCCCACTCACCGTGCTGCCGCTCATGTCTCCGTGCTGCCCTCAGTGCCGAGTGACTGCCGACGTCCTGCGAGCACCTGCAAGGCACGCAGTTACCCCAAAAGCAGTGGGATCCCGTCCCCAAAACCGCACCATGCGCCGATCCCCACACTGGGTTTAGCCCTGGGCTGATTCCAGCACCCTAAGGAGATTGGGATCTCCCAGCTCAATCCTATTAAACTGGCCCTGGGGTGTTTGGGGTGCTCCCATGGTTACTTGCCCAGTGAGAGGACTCTTTATTCTCACTTCTCCCCACCTCCACGAACATTTTAAGTCCTTCTCAGTGAGTCATTGCCACTCCTACTGGGTCATAGTCGTACCAATCAGAAATTAAAAACAAAATGAAATTTGATTGTCTTGGGAGGAGGCAAGATGGAAAATTACACAGCAGCCGGCACATAACCCTCCAGGGGGCCCCGAAAGGCTTTGGGGCTGGGAAGGAGCCAGCGTGCCTGGGGCACGGCCGGGATTTTTGGTGCCCGGAGTCCCAGGAGAGAGGGAACAGCACTGGGAGCTCCGTCCCTGCACGGGGCTGAGGGGACAGGAGAAGCGTGCAGCAGGGACACGGGGTGAAAGGGGAGGAGGTGGCAGCTCCGGGACCCCCGCTGGTCACCCCGCTCCTGCGGTGCAGGTCCCTTACCTGGGTGGGGGCACTCATCTGCAGCGAGTGCTGAGCGCTGCCGGGGGGTCTCCTCCGCCTCCTCCTCGCCGCGCTCCCCCCGGGCTGTGCGGTGCTGCCGGGCCCCTCCGGCTGGCAGCAGGGCCATGGCGGTCCCCCGGGGTCACATCGCGCTCTGCTGGGGAAGCGCCGAGCGCTGTCTGCACCCCCGGCACGACAAACCCGGCTGCGGCTCCGCGGTACGGCCCCCACGTGCCGATCTACCCTTGCCGAGCACGCACGCCCCCCCGTGCCCCCACAGCGCAGATCCTCCCCCAGCCCTGGAACGCATCTGCCGTGCAACCGGGGACGCAACCCCCGGCACTCGCGATTGAAACCCACCGCTCCTCGGGACGCAGCCCCCGGTACCCGGGATGCAGCCCCTCCGTCCCCAGAGATACCACCCCCCGTACCCAGCACGCAGCCCCCCACGGACCCCCCCCGCTCTGTACGGCCGTGCCAGGCCGGGCGCAGCCGCATCCCGGCGGGGCGGTGCCGGCTCGTTCCCCGCACAGTGAGTGCCGCCCCCGCCGCCGCCGCGCATCCCCACCCGCACCTTCGGCCCGAGCCCCGCTCCGCTCCGCTCCGCACTGCGCCGCCGCCGCCGCCGCGCGCTCCCGAGGCCCGCGGGGCCGCGCTGTGCTGGGGGCGGGGGTTGCGCGAGGGTCCTAACGCCGCCCGCCCCGACGGGACGGCCCCGGATTGGGCTGCGCGGGGCGCGTGGGTGCGTGCGCGCGTGACACTGCCGGGATACGGCGCGGCGCCGTGGGCTGAGCTCATCTCGCGGCGCTGAGAGGCACGGGGGGGGGCCAGGGGGCTCTCGACCGTGGAAACCGACACGAGTCTCCCTCCGCCCCGTAGATTTGCTGCCCCACAGCCTCGCTGCTCCCATCCCTCGGCGCAGCTCCCGCAGCTCCCCGCAAAACCCCATCCGCCGGATCTCAGCGCCCGCTCCGTGCTCTGACCCCGCCCATCGGATCCCCACCTTATTTACGGATGGACGAACCCAGCTGCCGCCCCGACACCACGCACCTCCGTGTCCCAGCACCGCCGCGAGCTCAGCGTGGACTTAAAAATGCTTTTAATGGGCAAGTCGGCTTTGGTCTGAATCCAAGGGCACTTGTGGCAAGGCAGCTCAGGGCTGCAGGCAGGGGACGTGCAGGGGCTGTGGGACAGGATGTCCCGGCCCCACTCCACGTGCCCCATATGTGGCACCAGGTGCCAGAGCATCAGGGTCCATCCCACGTTAAACATCCATCCTGCATGGGTCCAAACCAGCTCAGGGCCTGCAGCTGGGGGTTCTCAGTGGATGCAGCCCCATCCCATGCGCTCCAACGCAACAGGGTTCCCACCGGTGCCCCCCCAGCAGCTGCAGACCCCTAATCCCAGGCATGCTGAGGGGCTTCCAACTGCACTGCTGCTGTTCCTACCCCCCTGCCCACGACGGGTGGGTGAAGATGATGTCCTTCCTCTTGGCCCAGCGGGAGAAGATAGCTTTTTCGGTGATGAAGCGGTGCCCGGCGCGGGGGGCCTTCTCGTGCACCAGGTACATCCTGCACTCGTCCAGCCGCCCCTTCTCAAAGTAGTGGTAAGGCACACTCGAGTGGTTCTTCTCCCTGTCGGCACCGTGGGGGCTGAGCACGGTGCATCCCCCGCAGCCCCCACTGCCACCCCCAGCCCCGCACCTGCAGTAGCTGTCGCTGACCATGCCGAAGACGCAGATGTGCTCGCACAGTTCCATGGCCAGGATCATGGTGAACCACCCCGTGCTCAGGAAGGAGCCGGATTTCACCCTGTGGGGCACAGCGGTGGGATGGGGACACGCAGACGGACGGAAGCAACACGGCGGGGGCACCCAGCGGGGCCACGGTACCTGTTCTTCCCTGTCTCGTTCTGGAAGACGTCGTCGCAATACTCCATCTTCTCCTCAGTCAGCGTGTAGAGCTGCAGGTAGGGGTAAATCTCCAGCACCTTCAGCAGCACTCGGTACGTCGGGCCGCCCTTCTCGCGGCTCATTTTCCTGCTGGGACCCCAAATGACGTAGATGGTGTCTCGGGACTGCTGGAAGAAGTAGGGCTGGTTCCTGAGCAGCAGTGGGACGCTGGTGTGCGACACGACGCGGACGGTGCTCCGCGTGCCCACGTCCTCCTCGAAGCCGGCGGTGGGGGCGTGATTCATGCGCAGCACGCACTCCTGCCCGTCGATCGCCCGGCCCAGGTGCGATCCCAGCATCTGCCCCGAGCTGGAGACGACGGCGCAGCGGCGGCACGGAGCTCTGCGCAGCGGCTGCGGGGATACGCACCGTCAGCACCGAGGATGGGGAAAAACGAGGCGCGGGGGACGAGGCCGCCCCACGGACCGACCTTGCCGTCGGGGACGCGGCTGTAGCCCTGCAAGCTGAGCGCTGCGGGCGCGGTGTACGCGGAGCCGCCCCTCTGCCCCACGGCCTCACGGCACAGCAGCACGTAGAACACGGAGAGCGCGGCCGCGCACACCAGGACGAAGAAGACGCGGACCTGGAAGCGGAGAACCGGGGTTGCGCCGGGCTCGGCCGCGTGCCCACGTTGGATGCTGGAGGCAGCGCAGCCCGGCAGCAGAGCTCTGCGAGGAGGGAGCACCGGGCTGCCGTGACTCACTTCCTGCACGCGGCCGGAGCCCACGCGTGCGGCAGCGACCCCTCGGGTTCCACTGTCCCCGCAGCGGGGATCAAGGGGTGCCCACCCGGAGCCGCCGCACCGCAGGTATCCGGCTGCGCAGCCCCGCAGCGCTGCAGGCTCATCCCATCCATCCCCGCGGTACTCACCAGCATCTTTATCCCTCGGGGCTGGGGCGGCCGTGGGGAACTGGGGTCACAGGGAGGCTTGGGGCGTGCACCCTGCACACAGAGCGGGATCAGCGGGGGGAGGATCGAGGCCATCATGGCTGGGGACCCCCCGGTACCCAAAGCCCCCCTCCCACACGCAGGATGCGCACCCTATGCTCAGTGTCCCCCTGGATCCTCCCACGCTCCAGACCCAACCCTCCCACGTCCCGGATCCCCTCCATGCCCGCGTTCAGGTCTCCCCCACGCCCGGTTCCCGTCCCCGTCCCGCCCCCAATCCCGTGCTCGGCGCCGGGACCCCGCCCCTCCCGGCCCCACTCACGACGCCGGGAGCCCCCGCGGGAGCTGCGGTGCAGGTACCGCTGCCCGGCCCCCAGGGCCGCCGTCGGGTCCCGCATCGCGGCTGGGCCGCGCCGGGGGCACCGCGCTGCGCTCCGCTGGAAGAACCGCGCCGGGGGGGGCGGAGCCGAGCTGCGCTGCCGGGACCGCCCCGCGCAGCGCCCCGAGAGCGGCACCGGCACGGCGCTGCGGAGCCCGTGCGCCCACCGCCCCGAGCCGCGCTTCCCGGTACCGACAGCCCGGCACTGATCTCAACTCCCATCGCAGTACCAAGCCCAGCACTGCCCTGTGCCCCGGTTACCTCCGCCCGAACACCCGTGCCGTGCTTCCTGGGGCGGACACACCCGGCTCCAGCCCACCCTGTGAATCCCGCACGCACCCAGCACCTGCTCTGTGCGTCCCCGTACCGACAGACCCAATAGCGACCCCATCTCCCACACTAGAGCCCATTGCCCCCACTTCTCTCCCGCTCTCTCTTCGCACTGCGCCTCCCCCCTGCCCTGGGATCCCCCAGATCCAGCTCCACATCCCGACCTCACCTCCATGCCCCACCGACGCGGGTGTTGCTGAGCTCAGTGCACTGTTGAAAGCCCAGGGATCGTTTTGGGACCAGGATTGGGGCCTCCTGACCTGCGGTGCTGCCCGATGGCCTTACGTCAGCTACAGACAAGCTGCAGGACACGTCACACAGTGCTACCCCCCTCCCACTCCCTTGAGGTGCCCCTGGGGTTTTCCCCAGCCAGCAACAAGGAAATAAGAAAAACAAACTTGAGACTGGTTCCTACTCCCAAAGAGATTTGGCAGCGATGGAAGAGGCAGTGACAGCAGCACAGCAAGCAGGATGCAGGGAGCCACACACGAGGCTGCTTTCCATGGCCGCACCCCAGCACGTGCCTGGGCTGGGGACTCAACCCTGCCTGCTGAGAGGTGATGAGAAGGAACAGAGGCACAGAGCCTGTGCAGGGACACGCAGTGCCACGACCTTCAGCTGGAGCACAGCCACCTCCCATCACACCAACAGGGATATTTTTAGGGACGCTGCCCTTTGCAGCAACGCAGCTCCTGCTTGTCCCACACCAGGAGCCAGATATGCAGGCAGGGCCCAGTGCCAGCAGTGTGCACTGCCTCCTGCCCTTCCCCTGCAATAAAGCTCTGCACAGCTCCAGGAATTGGGCCAGGGTGATGGACTGGTCCTAGAAATTGAGATCAATGGGGACTGGAGAAATGGGCAGCAAGAGTGCACTGACCCCAGGTCCCTGCAGGCTTGGTTTGTCCCCGCCTCAGCAGCCCCTGGGCCTGGTGCCTTCTGCAGTCACTGTGAGTGCAAGCAGCACAGCAGGGGAGAGGGCTGGAGCAGCACCTCTGCACTTGATGCGGGAGAACAAAGACCTTACAGACCTTTATTGAGGATAAGTCTAGCTCACTACAGCCACTGGGAACTGCTGGCAGCCCAGGTCAGTGCAGGCAGTGCAGGCAGGAGCCCAGGCTGCAGCTGGCAGCTGTGGTGAGAGCTGCAGTCAGTGGCAGTAGAGCCAAATGCTTCCTCTGCCACGCAGGGCGTGCTGTGTGCTCAGTTGGGTGACTGTAGGAGGGGATGTGGGTGCAGCATGTGCTCTACAAGCACAGCTCACAGGGCCCTCTTCAGCAATACGAGAGCTCACAGCACCATCATCAGCTCTTCCAGTTAAAAAAAAAAGAAATCCCAGAAGGAATAAACTACTGTATGCAGCAAGAGCAGAGGGGAAAGATTACCCAGAGACCGAGCACCTGATGGGGGCCAGAACCAAACTCATACTCTGCAATTACAGCTGCTAGACCCTGACAGATTCCAGCCAGCAGAGCTGCTGCACGTAGCCTCAGCCAGGGTGCAGATTTGTCCTAGCTGGAGCTCTGGTCCCTCTCCTGGTAAGTCCTGTAAGTCAGTTTTGCTTCCCTTTAGTCAGTAAGTTGTAAACTATGCAAGTC